TACAATAAGTTGCAAACATTTCGTCGCCAATGTTTTACAATAGCTAATTAGAAGCAGAAATTAATAGTAATTAGTGATGTTTCTGATTGACTGTCGTGAAGCACACATTGCAATTGGCGACGGTGTATTGGCAACTTATTGTAGACCACGCTTAAGTCAGCATTATCAATAGCGTTTGATGCTTGTATTGAAACTGTTCAAACTACAAAATTTCAGCTGCTGGATAACGAGCGACAAATCTGTCGCTCCAATTACTTATTTTAGCAGCACGTGAAAATATATCTTTACCAGAGGAACTTTAATATTCAGCGACAAATGAGTCACGTGATTTTATATGTTAATCTTGAATGTCGTTCATATAAATGGACTAGCAGCGATAAATTTTTGACGGAAATTATAATTGTGTTGTGTAAGGCATTGTAAAGTCCAAAATGTCATATCAAAAACAGTATTACGATTGGACCTGTCAAGTTGATGCGATTGTGCACAACAAAAATGAAGCGAAACTACGACAAAATAGACTAATAGCATCTGTATGCATTAATGAATGTACACATTTAAAAAGAAAATATAAAAAAGAGATTTTGGGTTGATTCTTTATTTGAAAAGTGACGTAAACATGAATTAAAAAAAAAATTATTATTAAAAAATTATCAACGAATAACAGAGCGAAGAATGGATCTGGAGAAAATGAATCGCAAAACGCATAATCTTATGGTATATAGAAAGCACCCATGGAATTATTTAAAAATAATTACTCGTTTTATAAAAAAGATCTTAAAAAAACATTTTTATAAAATTTCAAAATAATTTTAAAATAATCCTTTTTCTAATTAGCATTTTTTAATTATAACTATAAGTAAAATAAAACAAATTAAGACTAAACAGAAAAAAGATATTGATTTTACATTAGCAAAAAGTAATATTTACCGCAAAAGTTGCTCCGCCGGTACTCGATATCTCACCCTGACCTGTTCCTCCTTTGAGAATTGAGTTGGCATTCTCTCGCACAAGATACTCGTGTAAAACACTCGCGAATAATACACTATAATCGCGCGCGGACTAATTATTTATGAAAGCCTTTTGCGCAACACTACGGTATTTCACGTTTACAAAATTCATGATTGTTACATCTTATCTTCGTTCACCATACTATTACGTATCTTTGAACATCTAGACTAAAGATATAATATTGCAAAGATAGTAACGTTACGTTTATACTTGTTCATGTCCTGTAATAATAAGTTGTCCTGTACAAATAGAAATTCCGCGAAAATAAAGTAAACTATAATCTAGATTATCTGCATATATGTTTTATTTTATCGCTCAATACTTGTTAATTGATTATGTACATATTATACTTTATTCTCCAATATACGTACAAACTTAATTTAAATATAATTCTTACAAGGTTCCTAGAGAACCAATAGAAACAAACTATTTTTGAAATTCTTATGATTAGTATTAGGGCTCCTACAGACAAGCGACTTTGTAGCGCTACAATCGAAACGCTGATTCGTTCATACGCATATTTATACAGTCATATTCGGAAGCGCTACGTACAGAAAAGTGAACATATTTGTGACACTTTTCTTCGTAACTCCATATATGAACTGGTCGGTGTTTTCGATTAAGGAGCCCTTAAACGCATTTGTGTATCGTGTGACAAGAATTAATTCAAATTATTAGCCAATTGCTCGGAAACTATGACGAAGTGACAGACAGCATTTATGGTATCAGACCATAAATAAACTATGACGAAATTCTGCACTTGTTTGATTGTTATTCTTTTGAACAATCAAGACTGTATCTCTCTTGCCTGTATACCTTGATCACATAGAGCTATTGGACCATTTACAGATCCATCTACAATACTATACCTTATATTACAAACTGAATAAAATATTCAACATACAAATATTACTACAAATGCTATGAAATTTTTTAGACAGTACTATCCCCTATATCCAAATATATTGGTTATTACTTACCAGTGAAAGTAAACAAATAAAAGTATGTACATTTTGATTAATTTATGCAAAGCTACGGTTCGTCGAACAATGTATAACGCGTCTAGCGTTTATAAACAATGTTTACCAAAATTTAAAAGCTAAGATTAAGGAAAAACACAAAAACAATTTTTAGTGAACAAAATTTTATCAATTACTGTATTGTTGAAACTGTTGTCCTCGTTCTCGGACACTTAAAGCAACAGCATACGTACGCATTGGATTTTCAAACTCGATTTCCTCGAAAACTAAGTAAAAAATCGAAAAATTTTATTCTATATATTTTTTTTGTTTTTTTATAAGGAACGTTGTGCCCGCTATTATATATTATTTGGACCCTGTATATGACACACACACGCGCGCGCGCGCGCGCACACACACACACACACACAACATATATGTATCTATAATTAAATATATATAAAATTATATTAAAAATATAATAAAAACTAAGCACCTAGTTTTACAATTCTATATTAACGAATTATATTATTGTTACAGAAATAATGTTACACACATTTATGAGATACGTTATATTGCGTGTACATTAATTTCTAAATACTTCTAATACTTCTAAATACATTAATTACAAAACACTTCATCGAAGTTATCAGTTTCATATCGTCAGTATATCGTTCAAAAGTGACGCAAATAAAAAGCATCTATTATGTATATGGAAGACGACACGTGTCTTCTTTCACGATACTATTATACATGGTGGAAGCATCTATTATGTATAGTGAAAGAAGACACGTTTTCTTTCACTATGCTATTATATATCTTCGAACATCTAGAATAGAGATATAATATTGCAAAGAGATTACGTTTATATTTGTTTGTGCTGTGCAATAATACTTACATATGCATGAAAATTCCGCCAGAATAAAGTAATCTAATCTAGATTATCTGCATATATTTTTTATTCCGTCAACACTTGTTAGTTGATATGTATATACTTCATCCTTTAATATATGTATGTATGTAACATACAATATAACTCTCACAAGGTTCCTGAAAGATCTGTAGAAACAAACTATTTTTGAAATATTTAGAAAGAGTATTAAACGCGTTTGTGTTTCGTGCGACAAGAAGTCAAATTACTAGTCGGATTGCGGAAACTATGACGAAGACGCTACAGACAGCGCTGGCACCATTATTAATCATTGGCTCGTTCTGCAGTTTGGGCTTGTTCGAATATTTTCTCCGACAACCGTATCTCTCTTGTTTGTATACCTTAACTATATGGAGCTATTTTACGTATTTCTTTTACTATCCATTTTATATCGTATATTGGTTGAATAAAGTATACGATCTTCGGGATATCATAACGACTATCATCGCGATTATATCTATACTTCTTAGCCATTATCATCTGAATAATGTAATATACTATTATCTGCATCACTATACTATTATTGGTTACCATTTTAAAATAAATATCAAACAGGCGTCTATTTGTCACTGTTGTGAAATAAATTCAGAGCAGATAAAATGGTTGAATTTCTTATTATGATGTCTATAACATACAATGATTAAGGTCAATCGAATGGACTAGAGATTAATAAAAAAGAAATACTTCTTTTATTAATGAGTTGCAAAGTCAAGCTTAATTTTATCAGGGAACTTTTAATGTTCCAAAAATGAAATCAATCAAAATATGTACAATTATATATAACATATGTGTGTGTGTGTGTGTGTGTGTGTGTGTGTGTGTGTGTGTGTGTGTGTGTGTGTGTGTGTGTGTGTTTAGAGAAAAGCCCTCTTTTATGAG